ATCTAATGAATACAAGCTCTTTAACATTATTAATAGGCTACTGAATGCCTGATGTTGTTGACTTTCATTTTCAAACCGTCTGCTAGCTATTTTATTTTCAAGATCTGAGGTGAACTGCTCATACTTTCAGTAGTGTGCCAAAAATGTCCCGTTAAATTGTATTTAAACTCACATTGGGAGCATTTAGCACTAAATAAAGCCCATAATCAGTACCTGAGGTGATCTTTGGCATTGTGGTTTATGCGTTTGTTCTGCTGTGATGTTGTGGAAATAGAAAGCATTTCAAAAATGGAAATTTCGCACCGTTATAGATGGTTGTAGGACAAAAACTCTGTTTAAAAAGGAAAAGATACCTTTTATCACGTGTTGTAGTGCCACATCGCGAGGACACAGTGTTCGAATTAACCTGTAATATGATGTTTTAATAATTTACTATATACCGTTTGTTTAACAAGTTGTGAAACCCGCTATTTAAAATTATTACATCTCAACAAATGATCACAGTAAAAATTGGATTAGGTTTATGCTCAATTTAAATGCACACTTTGCATTTAGATTTGAGCGTTGATTATTAGTTGAAATAGACAATGACTTAAACAGTTTATTATCCGTTGTTACTGCATGTAACTGGGATCCCTTTGGTTTGCATTAGAGCTGCAATAAACGCTATGGGTATTTATTGACGATACATCACTGTCAATAACGTTAAAACAAAAAGTTTGGTATTAGTCGCTATAGCTTTATCAGAATATGACTGGCTGAGTGAATGAATCTCAACAGCCAATCAGATAGCAGCAGTGAAAAAATTGTAGTTAAAAAGGTAAAGTTTTTGGTTTCTTTTTTTCTCACTAATACCAGAATAGTGTTGCCACGATACTGGAATTCGATACCAACCGGTACTGAACTTTTAAAAACCTTAACAGCACAGGGACACTGGAGTGTTTTAAAGCTGCGAAGATCAGCTGGTCTGTTCATAAGCTGGCATACGAGCGATTCGCTAATGAATCGACTAATCTTGACAGCTTTAAAACTCTCCACTGTCTCTGTATCCGTGGTTACACTCAGTAAACAGCTGTGAGTTTGGTGAACTGATGACCTTCACAGCCAATCACAGTCATTTCTGTTGAGCATGTGAACACAATAGCAAATCAGCGCTCAAACGTTATCCGGATTTGGACGTATTTAAAATTTCAGTACTGATAGCTATAAATTCCAGTATCATGACAACACTATACCAAAACAATGTTGTGTGTAAGCTTTGCAAAAAAAAAAAAAAAAAAACAAACAAAAAAAAAACATCCCTGCCAAGTATGGAAACAAGCAACTTGCATTAAAACCAGAGAGAGTTAACCAACAACATGTCTGACTGATGATTGGGTCCTTTGCTTGAAAGCTCAGATTTGATTATCATAATTTTCTTTGCCTACAAACTTTAAGGTTTAATGTGTATCGTTGTTATTACCATCTAACAGATGTTGATCTACTAAAGTTTGCTTTGATTATTCAACGTTTATACTAGGGTTGTAACGGTATGAATTTTTTACGGTATGATATTCGTCTAAAACAATACCACGGTTTGACGGTTTCGAGGTATACGGTATTAAATAGTAATTCTCATAGCAAAGACCCTGAAAAGAATAAGAACACGTTTTCTGACTGAACAAAGGTTTTATTTCAACTAACTTTTGAAAGAACCATTTTAATAGAACTATAGAAGTCTTTTATAAAAATAAACTGAAAAATTTCCCATTTTAATAAATTAAATTAGAAGGAACAAACAAGCAGGGTCTTTTAAGATTAGACAAAAATAAACTTAAACTGTCCTTCCTTATAAGCAGGATAAATGGGAGACCAAAAGTGCAATACCAAGTTTATGGCTGTAAACATGTATTTAAAGCGTTGTTTTTTTCAGTCTAGTGGTGAGAGAATGAGTGAGAGAGTGAGAGAGTGAGAGAATGTGTCCACTTGTACAATGAACAAATAAAAAAATAAGAAAATAATGAATAATGTGTCAAAGTCCAAATAAACATGGTGCAAATCCTCAGTAAAAAAATAGATATAAATATTTACTATACTATAAATAGTTACATAACGAAACTAGATTCAATATGGAACATCCTTAGGTTTTATGTGCCAGCATGGATATGGTTGTCTGTGGATATGGATTTGGATTTGGTTGTCTGCAATGCAGACAAACAGCTGCACCTTCATTTGCATCTTTTGAAAACAGCAAGAGCAGCAGTTCGTCTTTGCTGTGTCACTGTTTTGTCATGTTTCTGTGCTGCTGTACATGCAAAAGTACTTAGTATGAGAATTATTTCATGCAAAACTTTTTTTTTTTTTTTTTGCGTTTTATTTAGCCGCGCATAAATGCATGCCTATCTCTCATTCCGTGTTGTTCAAAAAGCTCATTGTTTGGTCCACAAACAAAAGCGAAACCTATGCTTATTGGTTGTGATATAGCGAGTTTGAACCAATCTGGGCATGGAGGAGGGATAATGCATCAATGTATCGTGTCTGGTTTGTCCGGAGACACAGTGACGAGCGTTTCTTTGTCAAATCAGCGTTGTCAAATTTTGATGACGTAACCGCACTGATTCCGGAGCCTCTGAAAGTCCGCGAATGTTATGTGATACAGCACTGGAAAGCTGAGATTCTCTTCTTTATGCCAATCTTTGAATTGTATGAATCGGATCAGCGGATCAAAAGTTATTAAACATTTAAGAGCAATACTTATTTTTAGCCGCGGGCGGCTGTCTCGGTCTTTAAGGGTTAAAACCGTTGATATGCAATTGTTCATGGTATGATAATCGTGCACGTTCAAATCGTGGTAAACCGTCATACCGGTATATTGTTACAACCCTAGTTTATACTTAACCACTGCACACACATGGTGACATTGTATTTATTAAGTTTAACAATCTTTTTAACACGTTTATTTTATTATAGGACATAAGAGACCAGATTTTTAGTTTAAGTAATGTTGGTAAATTGAAACGAAGTAGTTAATTTTTTTAAATAAATGGATTGTTTATAAATATTGTGTATCAATAATTTTTGGCACAAAATTGTAAGAAACATTACAGTTGAGATTGAATTATAATTTATTAAAACACTATAATTTTATTAAACAATTATTTAATAAAAAAAAAAAAAAATAAAATAATAATAATAATAATGAAGCCAGTTTATGTTTAGTAGCTGTGCTAAAAACAAACGATCATTTTATTTCTGTGTGTTGTTACACCTTGACTAACCACAGGAAACAGGATTTTGTCATTTCTCTTCTTTGCACAAAACATGTGAAATTAAAACTGCAGTGTAGGGCAGATCTTTACATGCCTAGACCGCACCACACACACTCTATTCTATGCAAAACGGAAAGTTTAGACACACCCTCTCATACCTTCATACTCTAATTTTCCACAATTGAAAAAAGACTAATAGATCGTTAACCTACAAATTTTGCTGCTTATTAATAGTTAGTAAGGTAGAATTTGGGTTTAGGTATTGGGTAGGATTAGGGATGAAGAATAGTATCACACAGAATATACTTTATAAGTACTACAACAGTAATATGCAGATAATAAGCAAGTAGTTAATAGTGGGAACTGATACTTTAATTTAAGTGTCACCAATATTTATTTCTGATTGGTTTTAATAATTAGGTAAATTGTACATACATTAGTCCAAATGTTGTCCAGGCATTTTCAAGTTTATTTAGAGCTTATACATTTTATTTTAGAGATCAAACATCCAGAGGAATGGTCTGTTTATGCCCAACAGCAATAACAACGCATTGCAACATAATGCAAAGTGAGCTAAAGCAGTGGTTCTCAAAGTGGGGCTCAGGAAGCCCCTGAGGGGTCGCAGAACAATGAGGGGTGGGGGGGGGGGGGTCGCCTGGTGATTTCCAAAAATCTATTTATTTTTATTAAACCATAAAAATAACCATATTTTATCCATAACCTACTGAAGAGAAAAAAAAAGTCATTTATAGTTACTATATACGATATAGTTACTATAGTAGCTTATAGTAACTAGTTCTATTGGATTGCGACCTCTGGGGTAGTTACATTATATTAAAGACAGCAATAGCGTCAGATGCAGCAGATTGATTTTATAACAGAAGGTTAAATTTTCTGACCCATTTACAGCACTGACATACATTACAAAAACTAAACGAAGAATAGGCATTGGTCTATGGTGTGTGTGCGCCATTGCATGCAAGGTTTCTGTATTTATAACCACCTCAGAGGATATTGGGGGTCGAGAGTCACTGGCATTGTCATTTTGGGGGTCGCGGACTGAAAAGTTTGGGAACCCCTGAACTAAAGGATTAAAGTACAGTTGGTTTTATATTCGCACATTCGTTCATATTTAAACAACAGTCCTTGTATTGTTTGACGCTGACACGCGCCTCTCAAAAACTGTAACTATATCGCGACGATGCGTAGCGCTCTGTGATTGGTCGGCTTGGTAGCCGTTACGAGCGTGGGTGGAGCTGAGAGCCATGAGTCGAGTCGAGTCCCAAGAAGGAGCTCCACATGGAGACTTTTGTTTTGTGTTTACTTAATTATTAAAGTTGTTGCATGTCTGCCAGTTCCCGCCTCTAAATGAGTGCGTTTTAGCATTAAAGTAGCATTCAGAAAAAATAAAACACCTGCAAAGAAACTCAACACAGACGAACATGAAACCTACTGCCAGCTAGCATTTCGTAAGTGTTATTGCAGAGCAACACAAACAGCACGCAGAAGTATAAATGCACGGCTACGAGCAAGGCATGTGCCTTGGGCCACAGTGATCACTCGACCAGCCTTAACACTTCAAGTAGGGCAGGCAGGCGACTGCTTCTCACTCAGGACTGTTTATGCTAATGAGGTAAAGATTGTCTCTAATGGGCGGGGCTTTCAAAGTGAAATCAAAGTGTTCCTGCAGACTTTTTTCATCAAGTGTGATTATAAAAAATATAATTAATTTATTTTTAACATTAAAGGCTGGCTATAATCACACGCTGTTGCCACACAACTGCACTTAAAACCCTTAAAAAGTGATTTTTGCATAATAAATTATAAGGATATATATATATATATATATATATATATATAATGACATTGAGGTAAATTTAGTTTTATATTCATACATTGAGACTTTCTCCTTAATAATAGGAAATTCAGAAATGTAGTTTTTGCATATTCTAAATAGCAAAATCATATTAGCAGCCAATGACTTTCAAAGTACGACATTGTTTGGTCAAATAAATAGTGCTAATATTGTTTTCATGTTATACTTGCATGTGATTTTAGCCTGAATATACAAAGTACCATGATATAAAATATAAGAAGCATGTCACAAGTTGTGACAGAACGAATGTGCGAATATAAAATCAACTTTACCTCAATTAAAAGGACAGTAAAGTGTGTCAAAGTGTTACTACAATGCAACCTAACAAAGTGAAGGGTGCACCTGCTCACAAGCAGCATCCAAATCTGCTCCATTACATCAGACCACGTGTTTCCCCATCATATGTAACTACAGTGTAAATACATAATGCATTATGAAGAGGAAAACAGCAGATCCTCACCTCGTCTCCCCACTTGAGCACATCCTTCTGCCGGTCTTTGACTTTATTGTAGATGTTGAGGAACTGCAGGATGCCGTGTTTTCTTACGTGGTCAGCATGTTTCTTGGTCTCTTCCCAGTTGAGCGGTGACCCCTGTGACAGCAAGCCCATAGCACAAAACCTACGGTCCCCCCAAAAAGCGTATTCTTCTTTACGTCAACTTACGCACACTTCACGTGCAACAACAAACCCGACGTAATGTAACGTTAAACTCGCTCGCGCGCGCGCTCACGCTAGGCCTTATATGAGTGGGTTTAAATACCGATGAGTTTAAATACGGATCCTCTCAGGTCGAGCACGGGCTCCGGTTTCACGTTATGTGGGGGAATATAAAGCGGGTCTCCGGTGGCGAGAGGCTGATATTTGATCGCAGAGTGCGCGAGCTCGGTCTGTCTGGCTCTTCCTCGCGCACGGACACTTTGCTTGCGGGGAGCGCACGTGACCGTGACGTCATGCCGTGACTCAGCAGTCTCTTTTGTTGAGCGCCGATGATGATGATCAAGGTAATGCAAAGTTATAAAACATAATAAAGCCGAATAATGTGTCTGTGTAATCATGACAACGCAAAGTCTATTAGAAGAAGAAGAAGAAGAGGGAGAAAAAGAAGAAGAAGAGGGAGTTTGTGTCCTCAGCCTTGGTTTTATTAGCTGTTCCTTTTCTCTTCTTCGACATGTTTTAGCAAAGTTTTATTAGTTTTATTATAGTTTTTGGGACAGTATTATATCACATTCATCGCTCTTATTGCTAGATATTCTGGCAATGGAGTTCATTGAATAGCCAGACAAATTCTAGGTTCATGGTAAGGTTACTGTTGTGGCAACTCGAGGTCAACAAAAGCCGTTACCTAGTATTTGTTTCCCGGTTCCCGGTTTTCGTTGTTTTTACAACCATAGAACAACGTTCAAAAAATGTTTCTAGAATGTTTTGAGAATATCTAAAATAACTCAGTGTTCCCTAAAGGTTATATTACTAAAGTGAAATACGCAGAGCGTCCCCTAAAAACTCCCATAGGGTTATTTAAGGTGTTAATTATGCGACCTGAAAATATTTCACAAAGAACATTCCCTACTGATTATTTTCATATTTATAACAGTAAGATTATGTTTACAGAACAATCACTACTCTGTTAAAATAGCTGGGTTATAAATACCCCAACATATAACCCAACTATAGGTTATTATAGCACCTTCCCAACTATGGGTTATTTTAACATAATGCATTGGATATTATAATTAAACCCTATGCATTGGGTTATTTTGATTAAATGTTATTTTTTCCATTCTGGTATTAATATTGAAGTACTATTATTTTCGAATGCCTGTGTAAAATAATGAATGTCTCCGCTGGGTCCTAAAGGCGAGAATGACAGCCGAATATCCCAAATATGTGTATTATTTTCTATTTTCTCCCAAAAAAAAAACTGTAGAGATGAACACGGTAGAAAAAGTGTTTTATCGACTATGAAGCACGCGTTTGTAATATGATGAATAATTAAGAGTCTTGGTGAAACTAATAGAAAAAAACACGACACGAGAGGTAATTTGATAAAAAATAACAATATTATTACGTTAGAGCTTAAATAAACAACACAACATTACTTGTGCATATTAATACAGCTGTTGTGTGTCAGTTAAATCAGTTTTAATTAATTAATCTACTGTAAATAAAAATAAAAAACTTGCAATGCTTACTTTTTTGTGTGTTTTAGTTCAGAAAACTACAAATTTAGTGTAGATTTTTTATATATATATATATATAAGTTGTTAGGCCTCTCTTTTCTGACAGACTTCTTGAACTTACATCCACTTTACATTTGGGGAAGATTTAGATTTAGAAATTTAGAGACTCTGCAAAATTTGACTAAATGTGGGATCCAGTCTTTTTTCTAACACAATGTAATAATAATGTTGTTTAATTAATTTTTTTGTAAGTCATATATGTCTTGTATCTTTTCCATCTCATTGCTGATTGAGAACTGGTTGAGATAAAATAAATCACCAAATAAAGGTTAAAATAACCCAACAAAGCTTCAAATATTTAACCCAACTGGTTAAGTTATTATTAAATAACCTAATAAAGGTTAAAAATAACCCAACAAAGCACCAAATATGTTTAACTCAACCATTTGGTATAAAATAAATCACTCAACGTTTATTAGAGTGTGATCATTAGTATGTTTTTACAGATTTTTTTACAGAGCATTATCTAAAAATAATTTTACAGCCATGAAATGATGTCTACAGAGAGTTTACCAAAGATTATTTTAAAGGGATAATTCACCCAAAAAAGTTTATCACTACACTAAAAAACGTTATTTATTTAACCCAATGGTTGAGTTAAAAACATTTGGCTCTTTGTTAGGTTATTTTTAACCTTTATTTATTAACAACTTTACCAGTTGAGTTAAATATTTGGTGCTTTGTTTGGGTATTTTTAACCTTTATTTGATTATTCTAATAATAACTCAACCAGTTGGGTTAAAAATCTGAATTTCACAGTCAACTGATTTAACTGACACACATCTGCGGTATTAATAAGCGTGAACAGTGTTGTTTTTGTGTTATAAAGTTTATTTAAGCTCTAGCACAATAATATTGTTGTCATTTTTTTAATCAAATTACCTCTCCGTGTCGTGTTTTTATATCCGTTTCACCATCCATTTCGAATACTGCATGTTATTTATTGGTACAGTCATAATTATAAAATTAATAGTTGTACTAGTAATAGTATCAATAGTGGAAATGGAAAAAAAAAATTACATGTAATCAAAAAACCCCAATTCATTGGGTTAAAATGAGTTGGGAAGGCGCTAACATATGCTGGGGTATTTTCAACAAGTGCTTCCAAATCATTCATTTTCCTTCGGCTTAGTCTCTAATTTGTCAGGGGTCATCACGGTGGAATGAACCGCCAAATATTCCAGCATATATTTAACACAGTGGCTGCCCTTCCAGCTCTAACCCAGTACTGGGAAACACCCATACACTCCCATTCACACACACATACACTACGGACAATTTAGCCTACCCAATTCACCTGTACCGCATGTCTTAGGACTGTGGGGGAAACCGGAGCTCCCAGAGTAAAGCCATGCAAATGCGGGGAGAACATGCAAACTCCACACAGAAAAACGCCAACTGAGCCGAGGCTCGAACCAGCGACCTTCTTGCTGTGAGGTGACAGCATTACCTACTGCGCCACTGTGTCGCCTGTGCCAAAACCTGTAATGATTAAATTTAACAGAATAAAGAAACTGATAATTAAGGTTTGGAGCAAGTAAAGGATGAGTACACGACGACAAAATATTCACTTTAAGTTTTTTAATGACGTTAAACACCTACAGAAAGATTTCTAATGTATTTACAACCATAAAATAACTTGTTACGAATAACCTTTATAATTTTAAGAACCAGTTTAAGTAAAGTTAAATAGCTTACACATAGTTTTATATGTACACACTAAGCTGTACATATAAAATTATCCTTAGATATAAATAATAAGAAAAACACTGATGGGAAATGTCAAACGGATTAAGTATTAGAAGGTCAGAAGTCATTTGCTGTACATGCCGTTGTCATTGTTATAAATACAATTCTGCATTGTCATGCCATCTGTTTGCTAGCACAACCTCCAACGCCCATCATTAGCATGTTTACTTTGTGAACTTTAAGGTCTAAAGTTAAAGCTCTTGTATTGCTTTACACAACAGCCCACCCTTTCCCTTGGAATTGGGGTACTTTTAACTAATCCCTCTGGTTTATTTTTTTGACATGATTTGATGTATAGTTGAAGTCAGAATTATTAGCCCCCTTTTGATTTTTATTTTCTTTTTTAAATATTTCCCAAATTATGTTTAACAGAGCAATGACATTTTCTCAGTATGTCTGATAATATTTTTTCTTCTGGAGAAAGTCTCATTTGTTTTATTTCGGCTAGAATAAAAGCAGTTTTTATTTTTTTTAAAACCAATTAAAGGACAATATTAATAGCCCCTTTAAGCTAATTTTTTTCCAGATAGTCTACAGAACAAACCATTATTATAAAATAACTTGCCTAATTACCCTAACCTGCCTAGTTAACCTAATTAACCTAGTTAAGCCTTGAAATGACACTTTAAGCTGAATACTAGTGTCTTGAAGAATATCTAGTCTAATATTATTTACTGTCATCATGGCAAAGATAAAATAAATCAGTTATTAGAGATGAGTTATTAAAACTATTATGATTAGAAATGTGTTCTCCGTTAAACAGAAATTGGGGAAAAAAATAAACAGGGGGGCGAATAATTCAGGGGGGCTAATAATTCTGACTTCAACTGTATATTGCATCAGTTATACTTTTATGGTCTGAAGTATTTTACTAAACAAATAGTAAATAGAGTGCAACATGGTGGCCTAGTGGTTAGCACTGTCGCCTCACAGCAAGAAAGTCGCTGGTTTGAGCCCCAGCTGGGTCAGTTTGCATTTTTCTGTGGAGTTTGCATGTTCTTCTCGTGTTGGCGTGGGTTTCCTCCAGGTGCTCCGGTTTCCCCCACAGTCCAAAGACATGCGCTATAGGTGAATTGAATAAACTAATTGGCCGTTTTGTATGTGTGTGTGTGTGTGTGTGTGTGTGTGTGTGTGTGTGTGTGTGTAAATGTATGTATGGGTGTTTCCGAGTGATGGGTTGCAACTGGAAGGGCACCCGCTGCGTAAAACAAATGCTGGATAAGTTGGTGGTCCATTCCGTTGTGGCGACCTCTGATTAATAAAGGGACTAAGCTGAAAAGAAAATGAATAAATAAATATAAAATGTTAAAACTGCTATGGTCATTATTATAAGTCCCCTTAAGATTTTTTCCCTTGCTTGGCTACAGAACAAACCAGACTATTGTCAAATGACTTGCCTAATTAACCTAGTTAACTTTAAATATGATGTACTATCGTCATGGCAAGGACAAAATCAATTAGTTATAAAACTATTACGTTTAAAAATGTGTGAATAAAGCGCGTACACACACACACACACACACACACACACACACACACACACACACACACACACACACACAGATAGATAGAAAATAACAAGACAACATTTTAACATCAACATTTTTACTAAGCTTTAATAAATAAGCAGATCTTTATTATTTGACAGCAACATCATGTAACTATTGTAAATGCAAACATTGATGTACCTTAAATTAGCAATATCTTATTAAAGCAATTAGTAGTCGTCTCTCCAATGTCACATTTATTTCATATCATACAATGTTTTCCAACCAGAACATTAAAAATCATGAACCATCGCGAAGCTCAGCAGATATTTGTGCTTTTCCTCCTGACAGTTCAGGCCAAAACATGATATATTCCCTCAGTTTACAAAACCTCCCACCACTGTACCCATCATTACCTTTCACAGCGTCTGCCTTTGTGTTTTACAGTGTAAACTGGGTTATGAACAGCTAACATTTTACATGGGCAGTTATCCAATGCCCTCTGGGTTATCATTAACAGTAACTTTAACATCAGTGTTCTTGGTTATTTTTCCTGCCAAGAGCCCTGCTTATAACTGATTTGATTTTCCAAGAGCCATCAGCAAGTATTAAATAAACTTCCCGGTTGTATGAACACCCACTCCCGCAAGGTAAATGTGCAGGTGAAATGAAAATCCTGGCAATCTATACAATCTTCACTGTGTGGGTTTTACTGAATTATGAACAGCTCGCATGTACAGTGCAAAAAATAAAATTAAATTAAAAATGGCAGCATCAGAGATAACGTTGTAATATAAGCATCTGCGGTTATTTTAATATGTTATGTTGTTGTTTATTAATCAAAGAACAGTTTGCAATAACCTCAGTTGGCACATTAAGGGACTAACTGGAGAATTGGCCCCACCCAGCAGGCACAGGACGTCAACATGTCGTCAGATTGACGTTGTACCGCAATGTCACGAAAATTGCATTTTGGAAGTGGAAGTGAAAACCAGGTAGACATCAGAACCCAACGTCAGTGTCCAATGTCTGACAGATGTTGGATCTTGGTCAATTTCCATCGCAACCTAAAAACAACTAAATATCAACGTCTAATGATGTTACAGCTTGGCGTTGTGTGGATGTTACTAATATGACGTCTATCAGATGGTTGCCATTGTGAAGAAAAGGGAATTTATTTTTATTACTTTTGTGTCTTTAATTTTTTTATTAGAAAAATGTTTAAACTGACAACAGATTAATCAATCTTTTTCTTTTGTATGATGCCATATATTGACCAGGCATACTTCTTCTTTTTTACTATGTTGCATACTTTTAAGAAGGAACTGCTGACAAGAGGGAAATAGCAGAATAATGAATATAGTGCGGGGGCCCTTGCTACAGAAGTTGTGAAATATATTGCAGATGCACGTAATTGTTCAGTTCTGGTATCCAGAGAAGGGTTGCAGAAAGAGGAAGTATGTCTGGGTGCAACACTCACTGCAGAATGACGTGACCAAAACTCCAGCTGTTAATATCAGTTGTGTATATATGCTGGAGTCAGGGAAATGTATGTTAGTTGCGAACCTCTTGAATGTAATTCTTGTATTGCATTGGGGTAACGTAACCCAGAGCTCTGTCACCGAATTATTCATTTGTATCTAATAAATTACTAATACTTTTGGCATTGAAGAAAACCCTCTCCTGACCTTTTCTTATTGATGAACACACATGGAACTGGCTAGATATTCCAACACCATACCTGACTAATAAAAGTCAGTATTTGACATCAATTTGATGTTGGTTTAATATGTTGGCTCCACGTTTGATCATTTTACAACACAACCTAGAATCAACCAAATATCAACGTCTTTTGACGTCGTTATTGGACATCAAAATAACATCCATTGATGCTGGCTAGACATTGAACTTTAGTCACCCGACATCACGACCTAAATCTAACCTAATATTAACGTCTTATGATGTTGTGTGCCTGCTTAACATTTACAAAAAAATAAAAAATTATTATTATTTTATATATATATATATATATATATATATATATATATATATAAAATAAAAACAAAAATAATAATCCCAGTGAAATTGATGACTGTTATCATCTACAGATGTGAGTTTTTTGTATGCGTTTTCTTTAACGTTATAAGCTTATAAATCTACCTCCAAGACAAATCTCTCACTTTCTATCTTCCCACAACCTATGAACCATCTTTACAATACATCAGTCCTTATTTTTAATATTCTTTATCTATTTAATTTTTTCAAATAGTGCCTTACACTAAAAAATTGGTAATTTGTATACAATTGTGGCATTTAAAAACCCAAGATTGCCACGACTTTTTACAATTATTTTAATATAGCATCTGTGTGAAAAGTAAACTTTTAACAAATATTACAATCAAAATGTGTCCTCTGTTATATTAAAGCCTGATTTATACTTCTGCGTCAAGTGATCATTGTATCATACGTCATGAATATTTATACTTTTGCATCCTGTCTGTTTCCACCACTTTGTTTCCAAAACTTATGCAAGAGTAATTGGTGGTTCATTCCTCTGTGGCAACCACTACAAAATCAGGGATTAAGACAAAGGATAGTAAGAGAGTGAGCATTCTGTCTGTTCTGCTCTGCAATAACACCTAGTGGACACTAGTCGGCAGTAGAGTTTCTGTTCAACACTGTCTAACTTCTTTGTGTTTTGGGTTTACGCCAAAAATGTGTGCAGTGCTACTGTATAAGTAGCTCAAACTCCCACTCATTGAAAGAAGAAAGAGGCGGGAAACCACAGGAACGTTTAACAACTTTAATCATAGAGTAAACAAAACAAACGTATCCATACAGTGCTCCTCCATAGGACTTGACACTTGTTAAACACTTGCCTCGCTCTCATAACTGTCGGCCCCGCCCACATTTTGTCATCTCTACCAAATCTGACCAATCACAGACCTTGCATTCCACATTGTAGAAATATGTAGTTGCATTTATTTGGTATGGTGAAGTGTGCACGACTAAAGTGTGTAATGAAGCTTTGCCGGATCTTTGCTACCTCTTTAGAATGTGCTAATGGTAGTCATGTTTCATCAAAAAAAATCAGGGGTAGTTTTAAATGTCTATCTGAATGAATTACAACCCTAAATAAGGATGTAGAATCCTTTAAAATGTCTATAGGGTGTACTATATGAAATTTGTTCATTGTTTATTAGAGTGGTAGTTCATTCAGCTAGACCTTTGATGCTCAATGCTACCCTTGTTCCCACACCGTTATTTAAAATGGTAGTTTATTTAGTTAGACCTTTGAAGTTGACAGGATGCATTACCCCTGTTCCTAAACCCTTATTTAATGAACAACCGTCTTAAATAAGGGAAACAGGGGTAGTCCATCTTGTCAGCTTCAAAAATGTAACTGAATGAACTACCCTTGTTCCTACACTCTTATTTAAGATGGTAGTTTATTCCAAAAGACATTTGAAGCCGACAAGATGAGCTACCCCTGTTCCCACACCCTTATTTAAGGTGGTAGGTCATTCAGTTAGACCTTGAAGCTGACAAGATGCGCTACCCCTGTTCCCACACCCTCGTTTAAGGTGGTAGTTCATTGAGATAGACATTTGAAGCTGAAAAGATGCACTACCCCTGTTCATTAAAGCTGACAATATGCGTGACACCTGATCCTACACTCCCTATTTTAGGTGGTAGTTCCTTCGGATAGACATTTGAGGTTGACAAGATGCACTACCCCTGTTCCTACACCCTTATTTGAGGTGATAGTTCGTTCCGATATACATTTAAAGGTGACAAGAAGCGCAACCCCTGTTCCTAAACCCTTGTTTAAGGTGGTAGTTCACTGAAATAGACATTTGAAGCTGACAAGATGAGCTACCCCTGTTCCCAAACCCTTATTTAAGGCGGTAGTTCATTCTGACAGACATTTGAAGTTGACAATATGCGTAACCCCTGATCCTACACTCCCTATTTTAGGTGGTAGTTCCTTCGAATAGACATTTGAGGTTGACAAGATGCACTACCCCTGTTCCTACACCCTTATTTAAGGTGGTAGTTCATTCCGATGGACATTTGAAGTTGACAAGATGTGCTGCCCTGTTCATACACATTTATTTAAGGTGGTAGTTCATTCCGTTAGACATTTGAAGCTGACAAGATGCACAACCCTTGTTCCTACACCCTTGTTTAAGGTGTTAGTTCATTGAGATAGACATTTGAAGCTGACAAGATGCACTACCCCTGTTCCTACCCCTTATTTAAGGTGGTTGTTCCTTCAGATAGACCTTTAAAGCTGACAAGATGCGCTACACCTGTTCCTACACCATTATTAAGGGTGGTAGTTCATTACCATAGACATTTAAGTTGACAAGATGCCCTACCCCTATTCCTACACCCTTATTAAAGGTGGTAGTTATTTAAGATAGACATTAGTAGTTTTCAAAATGCACTACCCCTGTTCCCACACCCTTATTTAAGGTGATAGTTCATTCGGATAGACATTTGAAGCTGACAAGATGCGCAACCCTTGTTCCTACACCCTTGTTTAAGGTGGTAGTTCATCGAGATAGACATTTGAAGCTGACAAGATGAGCTACCCCTGTTCCCAAACCCTTATTTAGGGTGGTAGTTCATTCCAATGGACATATGAAGTTGCTAAGATGTGCTGCCCCTGTACATACATCTTTATTTAAGGTGGTAGTTCATTCCGATAGACATTTGAAGCTGACAAGATGCACTACACCTATTCCTACCCCTTATTTAAGGTGGTTGTTCCTTCAGATAGACCTTTAAAGCTGACAAGATGAGCTACACCTGTTCCTACACCATTATTAAGGGTGGTAGTTCATTACCATAGACATTTAAGTTGACAAGATGCCCTACCCCTATTCCTACACCCTTATTAAAGGTGGTAGTTATTTAAGATAGACATTAGTAGTTTTCAAAATGCACTACCCCTGTTCCCACACCCTTATTTAAGGTGATAGTTCATTCTGACAGACATTTGAAGCTGACAAGATGTGCTACCTCTGTTCCTACACCCTTACTGAAAGTGGTAGTTCATTGCGATAGACAGATGAAGCTGACAAGATGAGCTTACACTGTTCCTACACCCTTATTTAAGATGGTTGTTCATTCTGACAGACATTTGAAGCTGACAAGATTAGCTACCTCAGATTTTTTTAATGAAACATGATAGATTGAGCTCCCCATGGCACATTCTGAGGAGGTAGCACAGATTGTCAGAACACTGGACCTACTTGACGCAGAAGTATAAATTGACCTTTAGCAACTCAAATACATTTACCCACCACTCTCTCTCTCTCTCTGCTTATATACTAACTGGTGCGGATGACACCGAGCTGGCCCTCGACTCTCGTGTTTTGCGTGTGGGGATGGTGACGACACAACACGAGATACCAACCGTAGCCTCTGGCAATTCGTCATCTTCAGTCCATTCGTTAAGATCAGGATTATAAACCTGAATGCATTTCTTGTACTTCTTCTCAATCTCATTCCAGCCGCCCAAGAGGTAGATCTTGTTATTCAAGGTGGCAGCGCCTGCAGTGCTCACTCCCGTCAGCAAGGGGGCAACGTAGCTCCACTGGCCAGAGTGAGGGTTATAGCATTCAACAGGCAAGACGTCTACTCTCTCTCCACGTCCGCCCAGTTGACTGCCGCCGAGCACGTAAGCACGATCTCCGACGGTCACCGAACAGTGCCATCCTCTCGGGCTGCTCAGGCTGTTTTTATCCTGCCAGCTATCAGTGGATGGGTCGTAGGAACAGACGGCTCGAGAGTAGGCGTTGTTAATGTAACCACCGCTAACCAAGATCTTGCCATCAATAACTGAGCTGGCATGGCAGCATCTAGGGACTTCCATTGGGGCTTTCATTTGCCACTGGTTTGAGGATGGGACGTAGCACTCGACAGACGCCTGGCAGCCGTCAGAATTACGGCCCCCGACGGCGAAGAGCAGACCATTGAAGGTGTTGAGGCTGAAATGAGTACGCTTCTGAATCATGTTGGCTAGGTGGATCCACGTGTTGAATCGGGGGTCGTATCTGATGAGAGAAATGCGATGCCTCACTTTAATATAAACATGTCAATGTACAAATATTTAGACCTGTGGCTAAAAAATAATTTGAGAAATGAATTCTGTGTTTCATATTTTCAAAATGCATCACTATTCTCTCTTAAATCGATTCTGAGTTTGGTTTTTAACAACAGAGGGCGCTTTATGCTTTACAGACAACCGTACTCTACTTCTTTACAAATACCACTTTGACCTAAAATAATCATTAATAAACTTAGGAAAGGTTTATAAGTGTGTTTACATTAATCTTGTGCCATAAAAGCCAACTCACATGGCTCAACCGAACACACAAGTTCTTCCTCGTAAGCATTTGACTGTATGATTAAACACTAGCCTAGAGCACCATTTACTGTTAAAACTAGCCTAGAGTGCCGTTTACTGTTAAACACTAATCTAGAGCACAGTCTGCAGGTAACACACTTTTGTAAAGGTACAAAATGCAATGATTCTTGCCATTAAAACACCATTAAATAATGTTAAGGTATGATGTTAGGTATGGAGCATAGCTCCTGATTGAGTTTGTTTAAGCTGGTTATAAATAGGAGCTAGTAGCTGCTTAGAACCAACTTAAATCTGCAAATGACCAGCTAAGGAACATCTTAAACCAGCAGCCATGCTTCAGTACAGACCAGGATATGCTGTTTTTTCAACAGGGATTATAATGCCTAGTAAAGTTTTATTCTGGTATCAACAAAAGGTGAATATTTTAAGGTTTGAGAATAAATATAGTTTCAATAAAATTTGAAGTACACATAGCAAGAAGTTTCAAGAAGTTTTTTGTGTCATGCACCACAATGTTGCACCCCTAATGTCTGCATGCTGGTCTGCTGAAGTATAAACTTGCAGAGTTCAAGTTTATTGTGTGAACATACGTTTTTAATGTACCCACCAAGAAATTTTCTGTTTAATAGAGATATCTAAATGTAGACGTCTTGGCTAAAACTAAGCAAAATCTGGGCTGTAGACAATAATTCAAAACTAGAAAAGTCATCAAATAGACCAGGGGTTGCAGGCCTGTTCCTGGAGATCTACCTTACGGCAGAGTTCAGCTCTAACCCTGATCAAACACAACTAAACCAACTAAAGCTGCGGTCACATTAGAGTTTGAGCGTGCGATATTCTGTCTTGCAGCGCTGTGAAAAGGGTCTCATTAAGCAATGAATGGGTCACATTAAGCAATGAATAAATTAAACGTTTATTATAAAATAAAATATAAAATAAAAGTTTATTAGACATTTTTAAAAGCGAGCGATTGCTCCGTGTTTTAAATTTCTGTCCAGAGAGGTCATGTTTTGATCCTCGATTGTTCTCACGCAGTCAAGTGATGCAAATTCGCAGGTCAGAGTTCACCAAGCTTGAACTTTGCACCGCAGCAACCTGCGAAACTTAACGCATGATACTGCGTTTCCAGTCTGCCGCACTCGCGTACGTATGAATGGAAGTCTATGGGAGGAAAAGCCCAGTGTGACCTCAGTTTAAGAAGAATCTGAAAGAGAACTTGGTAATTAAAGACAGGTGTGTTTTATCAAGTTTGCAGCTGAGCTCTGCAGGAAGGTAGAACACCAGGAACAGGAGTGGGAACCCCTGAAATGGACAGATTAGACCTGGCGTGCCCAAACTCAGTCCTGGTGGGCCGGTGTAGAGTTTAGCTCAAACTTGCCCCAACACACCTGTCTGGAAGTTTCTAGTATTGGACTTTTCTCCCCATAGATTTTCATTCATACCCGCGTGAATGCGTCAGACTAGAAATGCAAGGTAATCCGGCAAGTTTGGCAGATCGCTGCGTCAGAAAGTTCAAGCCTGGTGAACTCTGACCTGAGAAATAGCATAACTTGACTGCGTGAGACCAATCATTGATCAAAACATGACCTTTCTGGACCTTTCTCTTTTTTAAATGTCTAATCATCTTGTTTAATCCGCCCCTTTTTAACAGAGTCGTACGACAGAATTTCGCATGCTTAAACTCTAGTGTGACCACAGCTTAAGAGCTTGATTAGCTGGTTCACGTGTGTCTAGTTGGGTTTTTTAGCTAAACTCATCAGCCCTACAGGACTGAGTTTGGGCATCCCTGGATTAGATTAGACTTCTTATGTGTAGTCATTTATTACTACCCAGGTAGCAAAGAACTCTGGCCCAGATTTGGCATAAATCTGGCACAGCAGGCATTCATCCGGCACTGGCATACAACATGTGGGCCAAACATGGCCTGTGTTTGGCAGAGGTGGCACCATCTTTAAGGCGGCACACAATACTTAAGTCAGAAGTAAAATGTAGTACTTGGCCCAGATGTAAATAATTGATATCTAGGGCATGTAAGCTTGGCCTATCCTGACCCACATTTAAAATACATTTATATTATTTTAAATAAAGAACAATTAATCGACCAATCAGGTCACTTTGAGAAAAAGCACACCCATAGCAAGCCAAAAGTGCAATGATTCATGGGTTTATCAACTTCATAGCAGTTGTGACACACCAACATATCTGGCCCAGTACAGGCTCAGTTATGGGTTCTTACCTTGGCTGAGACTTGGCCTAGATCCTTGTTTGGCCCTTGACCGAAAGCCAGACTTGGTCCAGTCATGTACAGTATTCACTGCGGTATGTGGGCCAAGCAAAATCTGATTGTGTGGGCCAGAGATATGGGTATCCATTTGATGACTACCCTATATTTAGATTATTGTTAGACATCTTAGATCAGGTGTGACCAACCCTGTTCCTGGAGATCGACCTTCCTGCAGATTTCAGTTGTAACCCATATTAAACACACCTGCCTGTAATTATCAAGTGCTGTTCAGGTCCTAATTAATTGGTTCAGGTGTGTTTGATCAGGGTTGGAGCGGAACTTTGCAGGAAGTTTGATCTCCAGGAGCAGGGTTGAGCACCACTGTCTATTATTTATCTATAAAACACAACATTGCTTGGTGGGAATTTTGTTTTGCATCTGAGCCCAATTCTGCATGTTGAACTTGGACACTAATTCAATGCAATATTTCATGCCTAGCCGACAATAAACAGTTTCATAACCAAAACGATGCATAATCTTACCTGCTGAAATTGCTGACTGCATGCTTTGCCTGGTTTCTTGCATCATTCTGGTCTTCTCCTCCAGCCACGTAAAGGAAACCGTCCAAAACGGCCACACACTGATTGAAGCTCTTAGCAGGCATCTCCGTCAGCTTGTTCCAGACATTATCCTCGTCCCTGTAGAGAATGTCCTTGCTGAGAGACTTTTCGGTCAGCGCAGGCCGTCCGCCAACAGTAAGCAGAACTCGGAGACCTCCACGAACTTTGGTCCTCCGGGATTGAAGGATGTTCTGCTGGAACGGCAGCAGGTGGTAATTCATGGCGTCGACCAGCAAACGGTGGCACTCGGCATCCTGCATCATCCTGGGAACGTTCTGCACGTGACTAACAAGATCCTGGGGGGTGATGGTGCCAAAACGGATGTTGGACAGCAGATCAGGAGCGTACTTCAACCTCTTTTCATCAAAATCCAACCACTTGACTGCGATCTGGAAAGCCGTGAGCTCTGAAGGCAACTGAAGTGAGTCGTCTGTGAGGAACTCGTTGATTTGCTCGTAGGTGAGTTTGAGGAACTGCTCCATCTCGGAGAACTCAATGAAGTTCTCTCGCATGAACTTCTGAGCAGCTTCCTTCGTCTCTTTTAGATTGTACGTGTCGGCAATGTTGACCACATACATGCAATTCTCCACGCTAGTCTCCCGCATTAAGAAATCACTACACATTTTCACCAAAGTGTGGATCTGGAGGAGCAAGGCTGCAGATATAGTGCTGCCGATGGTGTATAGAGACAGGGTCAGTTTTCCAGAATAGGCATAAGTGATGACTGTAGCCAAACCAACTGGGGATAAATCACTGAGCTCAATCTTCTTTAGAGACGGATCCTTCCGGAGCATGTTTTGGATGTACTCGCTGCAGGATGCCATCACTACTTTGTGAACGTCGAAGGACTTGGATTTGGTTGCTACCGTGAGGTCACAGAGGAAGCTGTCCTGCCTCATGTGGCCCAGACCCTCCAGGAGGTTTGGTGCATAGACGGGGTCGGTGACTTCGGTGGAGATGCAACTAAAGCCGTTTCCGCCCTCCAGGAGCGTGTTGAGCCCGTTGATTTTGTTGGAGGGGCTGTCCTCGACCATGATCGTCATCTCGTTGATATCGGCTTTGCTCTTCTTAGCCGCCTTGTTCTTTTTGGGTGCCATGACTGTAGTGATGGGTCACAGCCAAGACCTAAAGGGAAGAATGAGAACATCAGAATTAAATGGGAAATTTTATGGAAAATCACTTTTATAAGAAGTTGTGTGGTAGTGTGTGACTATAACCTCTAATGGTAACAATTTATAATCACACCTAATAAAAACAGTCTGAAGAAATACTTTAATTGACGTTCTCTCTTTGTACGTGTCATCAGAGAGGGAAAGCCCCGCCCACTGGTGACTATCTCTCCCTCATTAGCAAAGGACATTAGTCTTGGCTGTTTCTCAATTCCAAGAACGCAGAGAACGAACTTGCGTTCTTGTGGAGAGCGGTCTTGCCAGGTGTCCTCGGAAGAACGAACTCAGGAGACCGCGAGGGCAGAGAACGCGTCCTTTGAGAAATGAGATGCTGCGTTCTTCCTGATGGTCACATGACCTTCAATCATTTTAAATGGTAAATTATTTAAACATTACAGCATTCATACAACGATTTATTGTTTCCCCCCTTTTCAAAATATATACTTTGCATAAAAACATTATCAATATTCATTCATTCATTCATTTTCTTGTCGGCTTAGTCCCTTTATTAATCCAGGGTCGCCACAGCGGAATGAACGGCTAACTTATCCAGCAAGTTTTTACGCAGTGGATGCCCTTCCAGCCGCAACCCATCTCTGGGAAACATCCACAAACACATTCACACACACACACACTCATACACTACGGACAATTGAGCCTACCCAATTCACCTGTACTGCATGTCTTTGGACTGTGGGGGAAACCCACGCGAAGGCAGGGAGAACATGCAAACTCCACACAGAAACGCCAACTGAGCCGAGATTCGAACCTACTGCGCCACTGCCTTGCTATTATCAATATACTCTGCACAATATAAATAAAACAGACTTTAATACGAATTTCAGCAAACAAACACCCTTAATGTGTTTATTCCTTTATTGAGATATTCCTGTTAATGTTTACTTTCACCGTGTCATTTAGAGAAACTCCTGACGTAAATAAGTTAAATCTCTGAACTTCAATAAAAAATCTAGATAAAATGCTGCGCTTCCCACCTCCAGTCGCAAGGACTTCTGGGACGTCCAGAGCAAGTTCGGTGCTCAAGTCTGCATCAGTGCGTTCTCGATATCAAGATCACATCCGGGAGGTTTGGTGCATCCTCTGTTCTTGCGGTCTTGAGTATTGGAACTGAACTTTGGCAGCTGATGATGATGTTACACGTGGACGCAAGACCGCTGAAGAACACATATTGAGAAACAGCCCTTGTTTTTGTATCTGCCACTATGCTGATGCAGAGGCATCTGTAGCTCCGCCCCCTCTTTTGAAAAGAGCACAATCTCATTTGAATTTAAAGCGACAGTCACCAAAATCAGAATTAGGCAGATTCAGAGAGTTACAAAACATTATTTGTGTGGTATTTTGAGCTGAAACTTCACACACACACCTCTCTCGAGAAATCAGAGACTGATTTTACGTCTTGTAAAAAGGGGCATAATAGGTCCCCTTGAACATATTTTGGTCATCACCAAAATAAAGGTCTAAATGTACACTTCAACAGATAAACAGAACATTTTTTACATGATAATGCAAAGTATAATTAACTTGCCACAATAATTAACCCAGTGTTGGGACAATTATGGACATTTTGGTTTCTATTCAATTTAAATAACACTTTTTTTTAACCCAGACATTGGGTTTGTCCATATTTGACACAGAAATGGGTTAACACAACAATTGCATCAAGCATAATTTTGTGTAAAGGAGATGATAACAAGTTTTTAAGACTATTTGACTTGTAGTAATACCCCAAGAATTTATTTTTGAAAAAGACATTTTAACTAGCAATGTATTTTCAATGTATTTTCAGTGTCGGCTGTTTCATTTATACATTAATTTTCCTTCGGCTTAGTCTCTTAAGTTATCAGAGGTCACCACAGCGGAATGAACCAACAACTTGTCTAGCAAATGTTTTACACAGCGGATGCCCTTCCAGCTGCAACCCTGTACTGGGAAACACCCATAGATATTCATTCACACACAAACTCACACATACACTACGACCAATTTAACCTATTCAATTCCTCTAGATTTAATGTTCATTCGACAAATTTATGCAACAATATGCATTCAATATTAAGCAAGAGATCCTCCTAAGATACTTTACAATGTTGTTCCTCATAAATAAGCTAAACCAAAATACTATTAAATTAAATTTAACAACCATTTCAAGCAACACAACAACAGATTGTCAGCCTGAAGTACTCCTCTAAAGCCTGTAGTGTAGTGACAGAGGTCTCCTATTTCAAAACCACATGTGCTGATGATGCTTAACTATTGGGGTTAGCCTAACAAAAATAACTTATAAGACCAATAGTGCTAGTGTGAAAGCACACTTAAAGAAATTAGTGTATTATTCAGACTTCGATAATGCACATCTCCCAAATATTTAAAAACAAGATTTAGGGTTCGTTCAATGATTTATGCAACAATAAGCATTCAAAATTAAGCAAGAGATCCTCCTAAGGCACTTAACAATGCTGTTCCTCGTTAATAAATTAAACCAAAATAATATTAAATTAAATTTAACAACCATTTCCAGCAACACAACAACAGATTGTCAGCCTGTAGTACTCCTCTAAAGCCTGTAGTGTAGTAATAGAGGTCTCCTATTTCAAAACCATGTGTGCTGATGCTTAACTATTGGGGTTACCCTAACAAAACTAGTTTAAAAGACTAATAGTGCTAGTGTGAAAGCACACTATATTGTATTATTCAGGCTTTGATTGGTCAAACTATATAAATGCACATCTCCCAAATATTTAAAAGCAAGATTTAGTGTTCGTTCAACGATTTATGCAACAATATGCATTCAATATTGAGGAAGAGATCCTCCTAAGACACTTTCCAATGCTGTTTCTTATCAATAAATTAAACCAAAATACTATTAAATTAAATTTTACAACCATTTCAAGCAACACTACAACAGATTGTTTGCCTGAAGTACTCCTCTAAAGCCTGTAGTGTGAATAGACGTCTCCTATTTCAAAACCACGTGTGCTGATGATGCTTAACTATTGGGGTTAGCCTAACAAAACTAATTTATAAGACTAAAAAACAAATGAATAATGGTAAACCTAAAGTCATCAGGACGTGTAAAGCTCTTGCCTAATGCTCCTTAAATACTAAAATTAACTCTTAAGGGTTGCTATCACCTCAGCATTCCTCTCTTTGCATCTGTCACAAGTTATCACAACTACGGCCGAGAATAGAAAGGCAGAGTACCATTGCTCTCAGGTTCCTTTTATAGACTGCAAGTCATTTAACCACATTTGTCCTTTCAGTACTAAAACATACTTTCTTTGTGTGGTATTCATTTATATATTTGAAAATAAAATAATTTAACTAGGGTCTACATGCTGTTCACACTGTACATATTTATTTGTGAATGCATATCTATAAGCATTCAGGACAAAACCTTTAATTACCACTAGCAGCTATTTTATTTATTTACATTATTTATTAAGTTCTACTTTCAGATTTTTAATATCCAAGTGAAAATTCTGATCTCAAGAGCCTTAAAAATATGAATATAAAGTTTATTCAGGTGATTTTTATGCTGTAATTGCAGTTTAGGTTCCTCAAAGAACACAGCGATTGTTTCTAATGGTAAAAATATGCAATAATCAAACAATTTAAATATATAATAATCTAAATAACCAACAAAACAACCTCTTTTAGAAGGAAAATGTCTTATAAATGTTCAAAGTTTTTCATGGTACCACTGATGCCAATAAAAGGCCTTTAATTTAGGACTAGCAACTCAAGCAGTGCTATCAAAGTTACTTCAAGAAATGTATTAAGCCAAAATGGGTTTGATGAGATAATTCTGTGTTGAAAGTGCTGCAAAATAACAACAGAATACGTATTTTAAAGAGGATATAATAGCCTTACCGATGTGGAGATGAAGTGGGTGCAGGAGAAAGACAGACTTGCACCTCGGAGAGAGAGTGCAGGAGAGAGAGGAGCTACTCAGGGCTCTGGTTAGACTGAACTTTAACTCCTCCTCCCTCTCTTCGGTGCATTTCAGCGGGACGCTCATAAAGTAGCCTAGCATGCATTTAGAAGGAGTTTAAATTAAATAAAATAGTTTAACGCACAAATTTGAAACTAAATTTGGCTACTTGCTGCACATACTTGGTTAGATTCTCGCATCACAAGACAATGACAATATCTAGCAGAATTAATGATGAACTTAAAAATATATGGTCTGTTACTTCAGTTTAAATCTTACTCATTACTTAAACAAACAAACAAACATAAAATAAAATAATAAATTATTATTTTATTATATTAAAATAATATAATAAAATATATTTATAAAGCTGTCTACATTTAGCTACAATTAGCCTAGCCCATTTCACATTCTGCAACCCCATTAAACTGGGTAGCACGATTGCCTCCTAGCAAGAAGGTCGGTGCTCGAGCCTCAGTTGGGTCTGTTGATATTTCTGTGTGGAGTTTGCATGGTTTCCCCACGTTGGCGTGGGTTTCCTACGGGTGCTCCGTTTTCCCCACAAGTCTAAAGACATGTGGATGTAAATTGGATATGCTAACAAAATTGTCCGCAGTGTGTGTGTGTGTGTGTATGGATATTTTCTAGTGAGGGGTTGCAGCTGGAAGGGCATACGCTGCGTAAAATATATGCTGGATAAGTTGACGGTTCATTCCGCTGTGGCGACCCCAGATTAATAAAGGGACTAAACCGACAAGAAAATGAATATTATTATAATAAGGATTTAATATTTAATGATTTAAAATTTATTCATTATTTAAACAAACAAAAAATAAAAAGATTAATATATTTATAAGTTCAGCTGGCTACATTTAGCTAATTAGCTTAGCCCATTTTTTTTTTCACCCTCACATTCTCGTGTTGTCTCATTCTCATGAGACAACATACAGCATACTTTTTGACAAGTAGCCTGATGAACTTCAAATAACTTGGTCTGTTTGCATTTACTTCAGTTATAAAATGCTCTCATTATTTAAACAAACAAAAAATAAAAAGGCTAATATATTTATAAGTTCCGCTGGCTACATTTAGCTAATTAGCCTAGCTAGCCCATTTCGCATTCTGCAACCCCATAAAACTGAATTATCATTAATAATAAGAATAAAAATAGGCCTATTATATTTTTATTATCAATATTATTATAATATTGAATTTGTATTGTATTTTTTCACCCTCACATTCTCGCGTCACGAGACAATGTCAATATACAGGATAAATTTTGTGCCTGATGAACCTTAAAAATGCCTGGTCTGTTTGCATTCCTTTATTCATAAAATTCCCTCAGTATTTAAACAAACAAAAATAAATAGGCTAATATATTTATAAGCTAATGTTCAGCTGGCTACATTTAGCTAACTAGCCTGGCCCATTTCGCATTCTGCACCCCTATAAACTAAATAATCATAATAATAAAAATAGGCCTATTTTATTTTTAATATCAATAATATTTAATGTTTATTGTATTTTTTTCACCCTCACATTTTCAAATAGTTGTATAATCGCCAAATATTCTCCTATTTTAACAAACCAAAAAAACTCTGTGGTCCTAGATGGGTGACATTAAATTACGCAATATAATGTACAATTTCCAAAAAGAATTCGCTAGTTTAAAATAAATAATAAAAATTAAATGTTCAGCTGGCAAAATTTAACTAGCCTATTTCGCATTCTGCGACTTAATAAACTTTAGTAATGATTTAAAAAAAAAAAAAAAATAAAATATATATATATATATATATATATATATATATATATATATATATATATATATATATATATATATATATATATATATATATATATATATATATATATATATATATATATATATATATATGTTTTATGCTGCTACACAGCAACATTGGCGCATGCGCAGACACGCAACAACAAACGTACAGTCGCTAGTTTTGTCACTTCAGTGTGCTGAAGATTTAATCGAAGATATGAGTACAATCTGACCATGAAGCGTGGTTGCTTGAACCTGTAAGCCGTTGACGCCTTCACGAGGGGTTTTAACTGTGTGTATGGATCCTGTGAGGCTTTTCCAACCAGGTAGTATATCCCACATCCACTTTCCGTCTCCGCCCATAAAGCTGACGAAAGAAATATGGCGCGGTTTAAACAAGTGCAGGTTTGGCGCGTGAGGAGCCGACATGGCCGCAGCTGATGTGAAAAAGGTTTTGCAATTGAAACGTCAGCTGAAGGAATGTAATGATGGACACACGGTAGGAGGAAGATGTGGTTTGTTGTCCATGCTATGTTGGCTTTCTCTTTCCTCAGACACTGCCAATTAGAAATCAAAAGGCTTTATTTCATGATCTACAAGGTTTTAAATAAATTGTTCAGTTCAATAAATAATTTTAGACTGCTTTGCGAAGTTTGTTATACATATAATACGTTTAATATTCCCTTATTAGGCTATTTGTACCCATTTTAAGTTTGTTCGATAGCTTAAAGGGGTAGTTCACCCAAAAAATTAAGTGCTCATTTACTCGTCCTTCTCTTTTTCAGTTGAGGTAACGTTAAAATTCATTCAGTGAGAACTTTTGAGAAGCTCCCTGTATTGTTCACCATGATACTTTGAATGTCGGGTCTGAAATGGCATGCAAGTATGACTTCAAAACAACTGAGCAATGTTGTGATTTCCCCATTTAGAATTTACAAATTCTTGTCTGAAATTATATAATTGAGAGTCCAAATGTGTGAATATAAAACTGACTTTAATCAGCTTCAAACCAGCTTTACCCCAATTCTTTTTCAATACCTGTTTACCACAAACAAAGGAAGATATACTGAAGAATCGTAAAAAAAAACCAGCCATTGACTTCCATAGTATTTTTTTATACTATGGATGTCATTGGCTGCTTTAGTCCTCAAACTACTACTTCATAATGTTTGTTTTATATTCTAGAGCAGTGGTTCTCAAACTTTTTTCACCAAGTACCACCTCAAAAAAAAAAGGTCTCTCCAAGTACCACCAAAATGACAAGTTTTGAAATAAAGTAGTGTATTTGGCCAAATTAAGCAGCTACAGCACTGCACAGTTCGAGGTAGAGTCATATTCATATTTATACAATTTTTGATAAATGTTGAAATATATATTGCATGTACATATGACATATTTGTAAAACTTTTTGAAATCTAAACATGTATGTAGATTACTAGGGAACCCGTTTTTCTCAGAGGATGTCAAGCTAACAAAACATTGCAGCACTCTGATACAAGTTTTATTCATGGAAAAAATTAAAAAGCACTGCAGTTTTTGGTTGTTCTTTGTTTGTCTGAGATAATTAGTCTAACGAAATTATATTCCATACAAAATATGAAGCTGATCAGTCGGTTCTTGTCACATGATTTGCGATGCAGCATTCTGAAAAGTTACGATTTTTTTTTTAACTGGGTACGCCTGAAATACGTAAGCGCATCATGCTGCAGTTCTTACTCATTTTAATAGCCTGTGGGTTCAATTTTTAGCAGCTGCTGCACTAAAGTAAGCATTCTAAGCACAGCTCTTTAATCGTAGGCTTTAGAGAACAGCCAATGCTTATCACATTGGTGTTATCGTACGCATCAAATGATTAAAAATGTTTAAATTTTTTCTTTCCTTGGTCAGTGATTACTCTGCGTACCACTAGAAGTAAGCCCGCGTACCACTAGTGGTACACGTTAGAGATCTGCGCGGGACTAAATTTTGAATCCCGCCCGACCGCTCCCGCTTATATTAACAATTTGTTTTCCCGCTGCCCGACCCACCCCGTTTTCTGGCCGCCCGATCCCGCTAAAGAGCGGGGGAGAACAAAACCGAAAATCACCCAGCTATACAGCCAAGCTGTCTGTATAAACACACACACAGCACCAAGCACACACACACACACACACACAGACAAAGCTCTCTCTCTTATACGAGCGCGTGCACTAACAAACACACAAGCACCAAGCAGACACACAGGCGTTTGCTGTTATATCAACTCAAAGGGTTATAATACCATGTATCAAGTACCAATGTAATACCATAAGGTTTTATATAAAGGTATATAAATACTAAGTCGCGCCAGCTCCGGGCCGCAGCGCACATTACTCTCGGGCCGATTCCGGCGCGGATGCGGCGGCGTCGGCTCGCTTACGGCCGCCGCATCTGGCCCGATTGATTCGGGCCGGAATCGGGCAGTGAGTGGTAAGTCTCCGGCAGGTGAGAATCTAGCCGGAATTGGCCCGAGTGTATTTTGCTATCTGGGAAAGCTCTCTCTCTCTCTCTCTCATTCGCGCGCGCGCACTATTATACACACACACACAAGCACCAAGCACACACACAGGCAAAGATCTCTCTCTCTCATTCGCATAGCAATATCCAAGATATTGCTAGACAGCCCGCTCCCGTCCCAAATTAAACCCGTTACCGACCGCTCCCGCGATTTATTCGGAAATTTATTCCCGCTCCGCAGAAATCTGGTCTGGTCCCGCCGCGCCCACGGGACAGCCGCGGGAATGCAGACCTCTAGTACACGTACCACAGTTTGAGAACCACTGTTCTGCAGAAATTTATGAACATTGAGTGTGAGTAAATGGGGTGAATTCGAGTTGACAAATCAAAACCAGCTATAAAATTTTGCACAAAATATATCTTTCCTAATAACATTTAGGTAAAAAAAATCTAAGACTTGGCAAAGTAATGTGTGTTTTCTGTGGAATTTTATTTCTGAATTGGTTAAATTGTCATCGAAAAGCCATTAAATGACCCATAAAATGAGCATGATTATATGCTGTCATGGCTTTGCTATCAAAACATGTCATTATAATGGAATCCATTGGTGCAAAAACAGCCCCCCAACATAACAGGACACAAGGGTTAAGAAATATCGTAATTGTGAATGGAGAAGTGTGTATGTCCGCAGCTGTTGACAGGAAAGCTGGAGGTGTTTGTGGGGGAGGATCCTCTCTAAAAATAAACCCGCAGTTGTCCCTCATGTTGTATGTCAGTCAGTTTTCAGTGCTGGGGTT